CAAGTTCTCAGTGGGTGAATTAGTCAGAGAGGTCGAGGAGGATCAACTCACCTCGAGAACATGCTACCAGGTCACCGTGAAGTCTGACAGGTAGAATGCGAGGAGGTGAGAATTCCCCAAAGAAGACGGAGTAAACAGGCCAAGTAGCTCGAGAAATATAGAGGAGAGGTTAAAAGTAGACAAGGTAAAAAAGAAAGTTGATATTTAACCGGGAGAGGAGATACTAAAAATCAAGATGATAGAAGGGTAAGATGATAGAAATTTTTGTAATGGAATGAATTTGGTGGATTCTCTGAGGTTGGAGCACATTTGTTTGATCTGGGAGTTTTTGGATATATTTGCCTACACCTAGGAGCTAACATGCATTGATTCAAATATCATTGAGCAACGGTTGAATATAAACCTCCAGGGTTGATCGGTGCGGCAGAAGAGACGTCATCATGGTGTTGCAATGGACAAGGTTATTGAGAAGAAAGTAGACAAATTGCTAAAAGTGGGCCACATTATCAAAATTCAATTTCCAGAGTGGTTGTCAAACAAAGTAATGGTGTCCAGGATCAAAGGATCATTATCCATTGTCGAGAATCGATCAATTAGTCGACTCAATAGCTCAATGTGAGGTGTTGAGTCAGAATGGATGCTTCACAAGGCTACCATAAAATTTTGTTTTTTAGGGAGGACCGCAAGAGAGTAAGCTTCGTGATGAGAAAAATGACCTACTGCTATGTGGTCATGCCATTTAGCCTGAAAAATGTGGGGGTGACAATCAAAGTTTGGTCGACAATATCTGTAAGAAACAAATGGGTCAGAACATGGAGGTCTATGTTGATAACATGTTGGTTAAGAGAAAAAAAAAATAAAAAAAAAGGTAAATCACATAGCAAATCAGAAGGAGACTTTCAGCAAATAAGAAGATTTGGCATAAAGTTAAATCCGGGTAAGTGTTCATTTGGAGTTAAGTCGGGCAATTTCTTGGCCTATATGGTGCCAAAAGGGGAATTCAAGTGAGTCCAGATAAAGTTCGAGCAGTCCTAGAAATGAGACTGCCCAGGAACGTCAAGGAAGAGCAGATCCTCACAGGTCGAATCACGGGTTTCAGCAGATTTATTTCAAGGGTGGACGATGAAGCAATTTATTATTCAAAACTTTAAAGAAGAGCTTTAATTTTATATAGACAGATGAGGCTCAAAAGGCGTTCGAGGAGCTGCGGGTAATACTTTCCGACCTGCCATTGTTGGTCAAACCAGTGCAGGGCGAAGACATAGTGTTTTACATTTCTACTGGAGTAGCTAGGGTGAGCTCAATACTTCTAAGAGAAAGGTGTCACCCAATTTCCAATCTATTATGTTATCAGGGTGATACAAAGAGCTGAGCTGAGGTACTCGGAGCTTGAAAAAAGAGCTCTGGAAGTAGTGGTCACTATCATAAAGTTAAGGACATATTTTCTTACTCATAAAGTGAAGGTGAAAACAAATCTACCTCTTGGAGAAACTCTTGGTCGATCATGTGTGTCTGGTCGAATAGGAAATTAGGCCATAGATCTAAGTTAATACATGATCGAGTATGAAACACGAAGGGCGATTAAGGCCAGGTTCCAGCAGATTTCATCCAGGAAGGCACAAGAGTTGAGCTCAAATGGAGGACTTGGCCTAGGCATTCTTTAGGTTTCGCCTAAAAAGGACAACTTAGAGTTCGCGACCATGCTGGGATTTAGGGTATCAAACAACGAGGCAAAATATGCAGCTTGTTAAAAGAACTACAATTGAAAATCGTAAAAGGAGCTCAAAAGATTCAAGCCTACTAGGACTCCCAACTGGTCGAGAGACGATTTTAAGGTGGATTAGAGATTAAAACAGATTAACTACAACAATATGGGGATGAGGTTCAACCTACTCAGAAGAAGTTCAGTCCATTCGAGTTGTTGTAAATACCGAGGGGGAGAACGGTTGAGTCGATCTACTATCAAAGATCGCACAAAATTTGGACGATTACAAGAGTATCAGTGTGACGTTGTTGCACATGGAGATCTCATTTTGTCGGAGCTCAAAGAGGGAAATCTACAGTACATGAAGTGATTTTTCGAGCAGGGTGGAATTTTGTATAAGAGGTCATACACTGGACCCCATTTGCGATGTGTCATAGAGTACGAGGGCAAGTACGTGCTAAATGAGTCCCCCGAAAGATGTTTCAGCAACCACAGTAAGGTGGGGTCGTTGATAGCAAAAACATCAAGGGCGGGGTAATTTTTGTCGAAGATGCGAGCAGATACTGAATTTTGGACACTCGAACTTTGCAGTGCTTGCCCGACCTGCCACTGAGGTTATTTGAACAAGTGACCAACAAGCTTGGAGGTCTTAATCATGCTGGGATTTTGGACATGACCACGACCTTCTTCTAGAATTGTCGGCCAACCCGAAGGCTTTAATCTTGCTATATTTCTGGACTCTTTACACAATGCCGATGAGGTCAAATAAAACAGGTCGAACACAAAAATTGATAATAACAATCATCTTCATTGATATTTGAGAAATATTCGACCTTCTTCCTCCTTGCCTTTTTCCTCGACCCCTTCGGCTTAAGGCTCTTTCTTTTAGAACCATAAATAGTGTTTGTAACCATGAGTTCGACTATCATTTCTTGGAATGCGGATAAGGTCGCCTCTTCTACCATTGCTGATGATGATAAGATTTTGTTCCATTGTGGTCTCATCACAAGTCCTCAGCCCTCCCTACTTGAGGAGGAGCTTGGTAAGATGGAACTTAAAGAGGATCTCGGTAAGCTTTAATTTGAGATGTATTTTGCATGCATTTTTTTTTCTTTTATGAATTTGCTTAATTAATTGATTGACTTCTTTCGTATCTGCAGAACGTTTAATGGATAACAAATGGGTTGTCGTCCCTACTGGTACCAAGGGACCAAGTCCCACCATTGATGTTTCCATAAAACGAATGCAAAAGGGTCGAAAAGGCCTCCACCGCCATTTTGACCAAACTATACCAACCGACAAACAGGCCGAGTAGAATGTCATAAATTAAAACTGACATTAAAAATGGATAAAGTCACTCGACTCAGTTTAATAGCTATCGCAAATATGATTGATTAAACACACAAATAACATTTTGTATATTCATCTGAATATCGAAGAAATATTGATCGATCTGGTGAAAGGAGAGAGAGAGAGAGAGAGAGAGAGAGAGAGAGAGAGAGAGAGAGAGAGCAATCTAAAAAATAATTAGTATCAATTTTCTTAATTAATTTCATCACTATTTTGAACATTGACTTATTTTAAAGTTGAAAAAATCATGAATAAAGACAACAAGTATAAAAGTTTCAAATCACGCCTTCAACTTGTAAATGAAATGGTTTGACAAAGTTTACCCAACATGTCAATGTCCTAGTCCATAGCAAATCCATTTGATAAATAAACTCAAATATTACCTATTGTTTTCATACAACAAAATCTTGTATGATACGGTCTAATCGGATCAATCATCACTCTTTACTGTAAACAAAAATATTCATTTATGTTAGTAAATGACATACTTTAATTATGATGTTTCAGTTTAAAAATATGCATATCTACTGAAATTTGTCTAACGATTAATTTGTCTAACAACTTAACTGTTATCTATATTTTTTTAGCATAATTGTTTCTTGAATTTTAATCACATAAGACAATGATGCTCATTGTCTAACAAGTAACAACCTAACTGTTATCCATATTTACCACAATTTTTTCTTGAACTTTAATCACATAACACAATGGACAATTTGCATTTAAACCACACAATTTTGAAAGTATTATAATAAGACGAGATGACAGATTTTAATTGCATGGTTACCATTTTTTGTGCTTTTATTTATTGCTCAAGCAAAAACTTCCGTTATACTTTAATCCACGTTCCTACAATCAAGCAACTTTCCTACAATCAAGCAAAAAATGGATTAAAAGATAAGGTAAGTGTATTTAACCCAATAATTAAGAATGAAAAAGAGATATAATAGGAATCTGTTTACTTTCATTTGAAACTACGGCGTCGCAGGTTGGCAGAAGTGTATTAGGTATATTTTATGGATATGTGGGGACTGAATGAAATCCACAATTCAGGGATCGAGTGTATATCTTAGGTATATTTTACTTATATGTGGGTTCTCAAATAAATTTTGAGAAATGACTGAAATTCGAGTGTATAATTAAAGTATATTTTATGAATATGTGTGTCTCAATCTGTCGTTGGCTTAAATTACGAGAATTTTGATATGTATATTTTATGTATATGTGTGTTGTACACTTTGGTATATACTGTATATACCCACAAAATAAACATTTGAAATCTAAAAATCTCATAAACTATTAATAATTATTAAATAAACATTAAAATCTAAAAATCTCATAAAATTTAAATTCTCTAATAATAATTATTAAATAAACATTAAAATCCAAAAATCTCATTAAATTTAAATTCTCTAACTTCATATAATAAACCCCTAAAATATACACTCTGAAACTTTGCACATATACATAAAAATTACATAAAATATACACTCGAGTTTCTCGTAATTCAAGCCAACGACAGATCGGGATACATATACATAAAATATATAAAGTCAAGTTTCTCGCAATTCAATCCAGTGATAGATCAGGACACACATATACATAAAAGATACATAAAATATACACTCGAGTTTCTCGTAATTCAATCCAGCGACAGATCGGGACGCACATTTACAAAAGATACATAAAATATATGCTCGAGTTTCTCGTAATAAATCCAGAGATAGATTGGTACACACATATACATAAAAGATACATAAAATATACACTCGAGTTTCTCGTAATTACAGCCAACGGCAGAACGAACATCAACGACATTTGTGTATAGCCGACAAGCGGAGACAACAAACCGGGGCCATAGGTTCTTGCAAATTCAAAATACAGTATATCACAAAAGAAAAATAAACATCCCACATAATAAGTTGTCTTCATCACTAGAATTTTTTTAAAATGCATCTACTTCGATTTGCATTTCGTTTTCAACACGAAAATCGGGATCCCGCATCCCGTCTGCTTCTGGAACATTGTAACTCTTCCTTTTACGTCGTTTCCCGGTATCTTTATGTTCAATATCGTCGGGCTCCGAATGGAAATCGTCGCAATTTTGTGCGAAATTGGTCGTCGTCTCTTGTACGAAACCTTTTGCTATTCTGAAATGGAGTCACCAGCGCTGCCGCTCGAGACGCGAGCCATTGAAAATCAGCGACCTCTCAGACGTGACGATGATTGCCTTGGACTATGGCGGATTGGTCAATTTTTGCCATGGCATGAGGGATGATAGAAAAAAATGAAATAGGAGAGAAGCCTCGAACAACCAGAAGAAAAGTTTGTGAAAAGAGATATGTTGAAGGTGGCGTTAGTGATTGATCTGAAACCACTTCTTACCGTTTAAAAATAAATAAAAAAAAAAGGAAATAAAAAATTGCACAAACCTCGTATGGGTGCAATTACTTTGTGTAATTATTTTAATTTTGCTAATAAAATAATACAGCATTATATTTGCAAATATTTTGTGAAGATCTCGGTCTTGGAGTAATTTCTCTAACACAATGATGCTCAGTTTTTAGAAAGCAACTCATTTATGGTAGTAACATAGACCCAACTTTCATATCCTTAAAATAAGTCGAATAACTTCTCAACATTCACCACCAAAATTTCTTAAAGTGTGTTTGGTTACAAATTATTTCATGCCCATATCCATACTCAATAGTCAATACGTATACTCAAAATCTAACTCAACTCTAGCTCAATACCACTATTCTCAATATAACTAAATAGTAACAATCAGTCATTCTTACACATCACATCAACTTAGATTCACTATTAATTTACTCACATAATTTTGTATTTACGAAACGAAAGCCTTCATTGATGCAAACACATAAAAACAACTGGTTAACAAACCAAAAACAAGAATTATTCAAGGTAGCTTATATACCACAACACAACACATATGAAACTAAAACTACTCCTATTAGGAAGATATACAAAAACACACTCTCAAAAGGAGAATACACTCACAAAAGTACAAACACCAACATGACATAACAAACACACACTCACAGCACCGCTATAGAACAACAACTAAAACAAAACCAACAACCAAAACAAACCTTCTACATGGCCCTCCTCTACAGTCTACAAACAGCTCCAACCGGGTAACACGAGCCAGACACCCGACCAAAGAAACGAAGATGAGCAAGACAACATCTCAAGAAGTGGATGAAACCCTCTTCTTCAAAGTAGTTAGCTAACCACGTCCACTTAACTCCCGAGCCAAGCCTCATTCCTCTACGGCTCCCAACTAAGAAACATGCAGGGGCCCTCCCGTCAACCGACCCCGGCATAATCTCGATTACCTCGAAACAAAGCGGGGGCCGCCAAGCCATTGCCGGCTACCAACTCCAGAGCAGCCGAACAAGGAGGTAGGAACATGGGAAGAAGACACGAAGGCCCAAGCTCGCCCGCAACCAGACGCGGACAAACCCAGCCTCCCACTCCCACGCCGCCGGATAGTCCCACCGCCGCAACCATATATACCGAAGGAGCGTCGAGCCAAACTGGCAATCTGTGACCGCACAGAGAGGAAGGGGTAGCCCTGATGCCCATCCGCCTCAATTGCTTGAAACAACAGACTGTAGAGAAGACTACAACCAAGAAATCAGCGAGAGCTTACAGACAAGAAAAAAAAAGGGAAAAGAGGTGGGGGGAGATCGGAGAAAAAACGCCTTCAGGGTTAGGGTGCGCAACTGCCGAATCTAAGTTTAAGAATATAAGAATTTTATTTACTCATATAATTTTAATTACTTATTATTTTAAATTACTTTTTTCACCATTTTATTGTAAATATCATTTTAATACAAACTTAAAATTGCACTACCAACTAATCATAATTAATTTTTTTTTAATCAACAATTATTAACAACATAAAAAAACATAACCAATACAAAACTTACATATTAGTAACAAGCACGCACCGAGGGGACGATTGTTTATGGATTCAACTCAGTGTTTTGTGACCCGAACCGGCCCGACGAGTCGACCCGGGAATCGGTCGACCCGGAGCCAAAACCAGTCCGGGTGGGCTATTTGGACCGACCAACAATGTACCCGGTCAAACCCGGCCGACCCGGCCTTGACCCGGTCGACCCGGGGCATTGACCCGGCTGGGTCAACCTTGTTGACACGGTCCCTATATTAATTTTTTTATTTTTTTTTTGTTTTTTAATTTTTTTTTTCTTTTTAAAAAATAAAACTATGTATATATTTTTATATGGTAAATATATACATATTATTACCACTTTAATCTACATATTTTACATACAAAAACATTTAATTTTGTTATTTTTATGTATATTTATATATCACAAAATACTCTATATATAATTTTATATATTTTAAATTAATTATCCGGTACAGCAATTGACCCGATGACCCGGCGGTTGAACCGGTGACCCAGTGACCCGGAGACCTGCCCGGGTCGATTATCGGACGGGGTTTAAAAACTATGATTCAACTAGTTTTTATTTAGTTTGTTTTTTTAACTATAATTAATTTTGAAAAAAATTGATATGGTTAATTGTTAGTGGATATATTAAAATAAAGTTTGATTAAAATAATTAAAGTTGATTTGATGTAAAATAGAAGAAAAACGATTGAAAGTGAAGGTTAGTTACAATTAGTGGATGAATAGTGAATTAAAATTAATATGATGTGTAAAAATGATTAGTTGATATTATCTAATTATATTGATTATATGAGAGATAATGGAGTTGGGTTAAATTTAAATTTAGATTGATTTTTTTTATTGTAGAAACCATAAGCAATCCCACATAAATCGGGATCCCGCATCCCAAAAGAAAAATAAACATCCCACATAATAAGTTGTCTTCATCACTAGAATTTTTTTAAAATGCATCTACTTCGATTTGCATTTCGTCTTCAACACGAAAATCGGGATCCCGCATCCCGTCTCCTTCTGGAACATTGTAACTCTTCCTTTTACGTCGTTTCCCGGTATCTTTATGTTCAATATCGCCGGGCTCCGAATGGAAATCGTCGCAATTTTGTGCGAAATTGGTCGTCGTCTCTTGTACGAAACCTTTTGCTATTCTGAAATGGAGTCACCAGCGCCGCCGCTCGAGACGCGAGCCATTGAAAATCAGCGACCTCTCAGACGTGACGATGATTGCCTTGGACTATGGCAGATTGGTCAATTTTCGCCATGGCATGAGGGATGATAGAAAAAAATGAAATAGGAGAAAAGCCTTGAAAAACCTGAAGAAAAGTTTGTGAAAAGAGATTTGTTGAAGGTGGCGTGAGTGATTGATCTGAAACCACTTCTTACCGTTTAAAAATAAATAAATAAAAAAGGAAATAAAAAATTGCACAAACCTCGTATGGGTGCAATTACTTTGTGTAATTATTTTAATTTTGCTAATAAAATAATACAACATTATATTTGCAAATATTTTGTGAAGATCTCGGTCTTGGAGTAATTTTCTCTAACA